GAACATCTGGGTGCACAGCTCTCAGGTGTCTGTGAAGATTGTTTGTTCCTTGAAACCACAGCTTTATTTTACAGTGTCTGCATTCTGCCCTATTGTTGTTAAGGTTATCAAAGTGAAACCAAATTTGGCTTCTTTTTTTACTGTCAATCCCACTCATCTTTGTTTTCGAGCACTGTACCGCTTCTCTCTCTCTCTCAGGGATGTTTCGGTGAGATTGAGCCGTTTCAACGAGTCGGATCTTTGAAATAAACGATTGGATTCGGATCGGTTTCTTGTTCAGTCGCACGAGCTGTTATATGGTAATCACCGAACAACAGGCGGAGCATAGCAGAGTGACTGAATATCACATGCCTGGGTGCAACCAATCACGACAGGATTTACAAGGACCGTACCAGCCGACGAGGGGTGCGCGGTGCGTTTAGAGACTTTTACAGAAGCAGAGAAACGAGAGGAAGACGGAGGAATGACAGTAGAATATAAACAAAACTAGGCTGTATTTCAATATTAAAAAACAAACAAACAAACAAACAAAAAACAGAATGCAGAATTGGACAGGATAAACTGTAATATCAAGCAACCACTCGGAAGAAAAGCAGATCAGACACTTGGTTCTTCCCACTATCATGGCTTAACGGCACACTTAGTAGTGAGAAACATATTGCCACATGCTGTGGTATGAGCTATATTATCTGCATGTCAAAAACAATGGCTTGTGTGTATTAAAAGTGTAAATAATAAAATGTATTTCATTTCCTGGTGTTCACATTTGTTAACTAATATATATTAGGTGCACTATTCGTTGGAGTTAAAACATTCTATAATTACATTAAAAGTAAACAGCTGTTGTACAAAAATAATGCAATAGTGCATTTTCGAAAATTATAGGTGTTCTATTAAATGTGTCTACCTATAGTAATAATAAACGTACAGTATACTTTTCTGATGGGTTTACTCTATCGGCTATACTTGGTGAGCTGAGCCAAATGATGTCATTCAAAAAACATCCGAAATAGCCATCACTTTCATTAAATTCTCACACAATCCTCACCCCTGCGTGCTTGGTAGTATGACCCTTGTCTATTCTCACATAATTGGTTAACACCACACACGTGACATTCAGCAGACGCATTCGTGGAGCACCACTAGCTCCGACTCGAATGGACGATACTGCAAAAGTGGTAGCGTATCCATTCGAAATTTGGTATCGATTCTATACACAGCCAGTACTTCCAAAGCCGTATAAATAAAAAAAAGGACAATATGAATTTTCTTGATCATTGAAAAACACAGATTTCAATATATATATAAGCTAACACAACATATTTAAATTTCTTTTTCAGTGACATTTTATATTATAATAGTATATTAATAAATAACATACATGTCTATGTTGTTGGATTTAATTAGTCTGCCAAATTACAAAAATTACGACCATATCATAAAAAACATTAACCAATGCTGGGGTTTAGTTTCACTTTCAAGTTAGCTACCTGAATGTTGGTGACCATGGTGAAGAACCTCTTCCAGTGATCCCTCAGTCAGTACCGAGGGGCCGGGCCCGCTTTGGTGATCTCGCTCCTTCTTCATTTCCTCCTCTCTCCTTTTGGTTTGCAGCTCCATGTTCACTTCCGTGTGCATTTTAATATGTTTGTATAAATTTGTAGTGTTGCCACAGTATCGAATTCGTTTTTCACAAACACCACAAATTGCAATGTATTTGTCCAGTGCTGTAAAATAGCTCCAAACAGCACTTCTTTTCCTTTCTGCCATGATGCCCAGTCAGCAGAGCCCAGTCTCACGTTAATCTGCAGCACACGCTTTAAGTAAGAGACTATACAATCTAAAATATAAACAGTATCGATAAGTATTGGTATTGATCGATACTTGTATGATGAGATCGATATTTTATTTGCTTCCCCTTTCGTTCTATTCCAGTCTTAATAGCCAGTGCGGTTATTACACAAGCACAGCACCTCTCACTTCCTTTAAGCCCACTTTGTCCCTCCCCCTTCATCCTACTATAACTGTTGTCAGGGTTGCCAGATCAGAAATTAAAAAGTATCGCACTGCACCTTTTAAATGATCGCATTTGACCCGAGTTATTGTATGCACAAATTAATTCACAAGTTAATTTATAAATCAATAAATAAATCCTTCAATAACAATTCGTTTAGAAATGCTATTATATCCACATGGTACCGGTCTAAAAAGGAAAAATCAAACACAAAGACTTGACATTTTAGTATGAAACAAAACTGCTTAATTGTTTTGTTTTACTGAAACAAACGCCCGTCATGTGTAAAGGCATCACTTTGTGGTAACAGAGGGTCGTTCACGTACACCCCAACAGGTCAAGGTAACATATAAAAACGAGAATTATTATAAATCTGGCCTCACTTGTTGTTATTGGTTTGAAGTGCAGTTGCATACGAGATAAAACAAAGTGGAGCACACAAATGTACACATACAACAACACACAGGCGGAATAGAACAAGGAGCGACAAAGTAAAGCGACAAGATATCTCAACTGGTGTCAGGATATATTCTCTAAATTGTCTGAGAGTCGTTTCCACAGTGGAGTAGAGAGAATTTATAGTAATGTTGGAAGATGTCCACTTGGTGGCAGCATGGACTTAGGTATAAATAATTCAGTGAGGTGCAGTTACAGTACCATCCTTCTGCGATGTTCTCAAAGACGGTGCTGCATTTAACCCACTGTAAAACTTACCTCCAGTGTCTGTCCGTCCTTCGATTATATCACAAGCTGTGGTCCGAAATTAGTTCATCTAGGTTTAATTGGTCCATTGACTCTGTGAGAACGGATCTTTGAACGAATCTGTGAGAGCGAATCTGTGAACAAATCTGAGAGAATGAATCTGTGCAGCCCGAGCAGTCTATCACAATTGAAAAATCCTGGCAGAGGACAATTGAATGTAAAACTCAATTTGACAATTAGTGAGACAATTAGTGATTAATTCGCAGAGAGTGATTCGTTCGTAGTGAAAGATTAGTTCACAGTGAAGGATTAGTTCGCAGGACGTCATCACCAGGATACCCACAAAGCAATGGGAAAGCTGAATCTGCAGTGAAAACAGCCAAACGTCCCATGCTATATGTATGTATGTATGTATGTATATATATACATATATACATACATACATATACTTATAGCATGAGACGTATAGCATATATATATTTATATATATATAAAGCTAAAGTTAAGCACAGTTGCACAGATCAACAGATATTTGATTTGGAAAATTTACTGCTTGATGCTGTGAAAGTTATTGAGTAGTTCAGTTAATTAGTTACAATATAATGTTGAATACAGGGTTCAAGCTAAGTAAGAATAAGGAACTACACTTCATTGAAAACAAGAAAAGATGTAACAATAGGAGTATTGTTCCGGTTTGTTGTTGTTGTCCAGGGACGGATTTGGGAGACGCACCGTCATAAGAAATGCAGCGACTGAGAGCTGACAGTGTTTAAGAGTTGAATATAAATAAAAGGCAACGTTGGAAACTATTGAAGATGTTCTTTATTCATTCTGAGGTAGGAGACAACAGAGTGAAACACACTGTAAAAGATTAGTTCACAGCGAAAGATTAGTTCACAGTTAAATATTAGTTCACAGAGAGTGATTTGTTCTTAGTGAAAGATTAGTTCACAGTAAAAGATTAGTTCACAGTAAATGATTAGTTCACAGCGAAAGATTAGTTCACAGTTAAATATTAGTTCACAGAGAGTGATTTGTTCTTAGTGAAAGATTAGTTCACAGTAAAAGATTAGTTCACA